TAACGTCAATGTTCCCATTTTCATTCTCGACATTCCAAATGAATTAGGTTTTGCTCGAACAACTCTGCTACAACTTGCAGAACGACTAAATACATTGTAAAGGAACGCTCAACATATAGTTAAGCTGTTTGTCTTGAACAATAATTCTTCATCAATAATTCATTATAATTTTGCCATCCTGAGAGAACAAAAATAATATGCTAATTCTGTTCAAACGAAATATACGTAAGTTTAATCTGGAAACAGCATTTTTCTCCCATTACCCGTTTGGAAAAATTGACTAATTAGTTCCCTTGGAAATCAAGGTCTTTGACAGGCGTGGTGGAGGTGGGGGTTGCGGGTATTAAATGCATTCAATAGCCCAATGCCGCGATGTCCTGCTGCGCGGTTCCTTTTATCCTTGAAATACGAACCGTCTATAGACCACAGACTAAGTGCATAATGCACAAGATACATGTTCACACTGTATATAGAGATGTGTATAAATTCTTAGTAAAAATTTATAGTAAAGTCTTTATTTTAATATGTTTTATCAGGTTGAAAGTCATTTCCAACGCATATAAAATCGCATATGTCGTAGCGCACGGGGTCTGTTTTATATCGTGTATAATATCATATTTAAACACGACATATCAATTTAATCGCTTTGATCAAACCACAGTTAATAGATATTAACTGTGATCAAACATTATATTAAAAATAGTAATTAATAACATAGCGCGGAAAAATGAAAACCAAGTAAGCCTACATCAAAGGAATGCCACATTTAAACGCACGAAACTATTGCAATATATATAGAATCGAGCAGAGAATCGAGTATGTTGTTGCCGCATAATGTTTGTACGTTTTTTATTTATTTATTTATTTATTTAACTGTTCGCCCAAAAAAAGTTACATCAATAAATCTAAAAAATAAAGTATTTTCAAGAAGTGTCGGGGGGAGGGGGCTTCTAGAAACCATAAGGCTTTTATTTAAGACCCCTAGATTCTAGATTGAAATTGATTCACTAAGAATGAAAATCGAAATCGGGTCAGGTCTGCTCGGTTTGTGAAATATATTTGTCGAATGTGTAACTATATGAGTGCGTAATATATTTGTATTATATTTTTCGAATGCGCTGGTCGAATGTGTAAATTAAGGCAAATAGAAAGCCAAGCACAGTTTACACAAGGGTCAGTGGAATATTAGCGCACGAAGTCTTTGGGATATATTTGTCGAATATTGAAAGTAAGTTGAATGTTATTAATACATATGGGATCGAATATGTCGTTGTTTAATCATCACTAAATAAAGAATATGTCTATCCTTTTCAACTCCGCCGAACAGCGTTGGAAAACATCGTCCGTAGATCTTTGCGTGTATTCTCCTTGAAATTCATACTTCACGAAAATTGTATACGCAGCCTGTAAACTCAAGCCTTTGATGTATGCTGTCCACTGGAAAAAAAATGAAATCCATACTACGAAATTTGTAATTGCACCACAAAAGCCATAGTATATGTATACTACTTCCATACTATATCCATTACTATGGAAATATACAATTATTATGGGTAACCAAAGTTCATTCTATTTCCAATAAAGGTCCATACAACTTCCATGCTATGACCTTCTATGGATTTTCAAAAGTTTTTCCAGTGGTCCTTGAACAAGAGGTCTTCTTGTGTTTGTGAAGTATTTTGTTTTGTATACATATAAAGACTATAAAACCTTGTACTGTTCAATGTGTGCAAATTATTTTTGCGGACACATTAACTTTGTTACTTCATGACTTAGATCTGTTTATGCTTATAAATTATTGGAAAATGCACAGTCGTTTACATATTTATGTCATATCTGATCACTGTATGTGATTAAATGTGCGTATAATATTTCAACTGTGTCCAATTTACGTAATACTTTCTTTCAGTAAATTCAGAATTTGACAATAGCGAAAAGCAAACAATGCAGGCTACCCACATGTACGCAGCGCGTACCTATTTTTAAATTAATTGAGAACGCAAACAATGTTGTGAAAATGCGAACATTGACGTTGAAGATGCGAACATTGATGTTGAAAGTACAAACATTGATGTTGAAAATGCGAACATTGATGTTGAAAATACAAACATTGATGTTGAAAATACAAACATTGATGTTGAAAATGCGAACATTGATGTTGAAAATGCGAATATGAATTTTGGCGGAGAATTGACGCCATGGTATCCGCCAAAATTTAAGTTAGTAATGAAAATACACAAACATTAATGTTGAAAATGCGAACATTGATGTTGAAAATGCGAACATGAATTTTGGCGGAGATTTGACGCCATGCTATCCGCTAAAATTCAAGTTAGTAATGTAAATACACAAACATTGATGTTGAAAATGCGAAGAAAGATGTTGAAAATGCGAACATTGATGTTGCAAATGCGAACATTGATGTTGAAAATACAAACGTTGATGTTGAAAATGCGAACATTGATGTTGAATATACGAACATGAATTTTGGCGAAGATTTGACGCCATATTTCCCAGCAGCCTTTCGCGCTCGTATTCGACTTTTTCACTAATTTATTAGCGATTCCCAGCAGCCTTTCGCGCTCGTATTCGACTTTTCCGTCGATGAATTCAGACCAGAAAAACACAAAAAAAACTTGTGCAAAAATACTAAAACAATTATTTGCCTCAGGCTCGGTGATTATCGGAGAATATTCACCTCGACTCCGTCTCGGCGAATATTCCCCGATAATCACCTCACCTTTGGCGAATAATTGTTAATTATTATAGAAAAGGTGCATACAAATTCGTATAGCTATATATTCACCGCTTAATATTTCTCTGATCTTGTCGACAACAATCTGTATAATAACTTCTTTTGGAATGTTTACCAAATTAATTTATATATTAACAATTAATATTTAATGTTTGTAGATAATTACGCGAGGTCATTATTTTCCTCATCTGCAGATGACCCTTGCAGGTAGGTAATAATTTATTTCATCTTTCAATTGGCTTGAAAACGTTGAATCCAACATTTTTGCACTACATTTTTGCCCTATCATCCAACAAACTGTCAAATATTGTTTTATACTACTTCTTTTCGAAAATATTCTATAAGCAAGTATTTTTAATTTGGATAAATCAAATTATCAGAAGTTCGGAAAAATATAAGCAGAAAATAGTTTACTACCATTAATGATGAACGATTTTGGGCAAACATTATAGAGAGTTTAAACCGCTTCGCGTTATACGTCAAACAGCAACCACTCCAGGCAAAGAAAAATTTGACAGTATATATTTTGTACAAAACTGTAAAATAGTTGACAGATTCGTTCTTTTAACTATACAACAATAAATTTCCGAAATACGTACTGTAGGTATATTATTTTGCATTTTGTGAGCTTTGATTTAATGTAAAATTTAACTTGAAATGCTTCGTAAAATGTTTTGAAATGTTCATTCAAGTAAACCTACATTTTTCCGATAAACTGTTTTTACTTAACAAAACATGATAAGTTTAATACAAATAAAATAAAATTGTTAGCTAATTTCAGTTCAATTTTCAAATCAATTTGTTCGCCTTTACATTTTAAGATTTGTTCTCAAATTAAACGGCAATTTATGAAACTTAGAGCTTCTATAGTTCATGTTTTTTATTTAATACGTAAAAAGTTAAAGCAACAAAATTCGTAAACATTTTAAAAATATTCAAAGCAAACTTGCCGTATATTTCACGATTTCCCGTAGTAAACCAATTCTTCTCATTTCTTCAAACAAAATTGCTTCAAGCTTGTTGTATATGAAACGTTTTTGCAAATATATGTCTTTTAAAATTGAAATCTTGCTTGCCATATTTTTGAGATAAGTGAGGATGACCACCCACTCGTCGTTCGTTGGTCAGCGTCCGCGATGATTGATGAACTTTAGACTTCGCTAATGCTTTCGTTTCCCCAGGTGTAAATAGCCGGGGGGAATTAGTACCCTCGCACGGCGCTTCGCGCCGCCGGCTCGGGGATAAGTGTAACTTTAGCTAAATTAATGCTGTGTATAGACAAGTTATTTTCATTTTTTGGTTTTGATTAACAATCAATTTATTTTTCCAGAGTTTGATCGATGATGCTGAAGCAAAATTTACATCTCCACTGTGTTTACTTAGTGCTACATGTACTAACCAAAAAGACGGAAAATAAAAATATCTAAACAAAACAACATGTCATATACCGACCACCAAAACAAAATGATTTAAAATTAACTTGTTATGGAAGAAAACAGTAGGTATGAAAATCAGGTATATAGAGGACAAAAATTAATGACTTTACCATATCGGAGGACAATTCTATTTTGCCTTCGTCTTGTGTCTTTAAGACTGGTAACTACATTTCTGTATGTTGGCATCACTCAAATGTTTTGTGAGCCCCTGCATGCCAACACGTTTTTCTTCGTTTTTTCTATTATACCCATATATTGTTAAAAACGTGAAATTTCAGGTTTATTTATAAAAAAAATAACTTATAGATGTATTAGAAATAGCAGTATTAGAAAGCTTACAAAAAATTTCATAATGAAACGGTTACCTTGATTTTTCAAGTTCTTCTTGAGTTATGAACTTTTGAAAACATGTTTCCAGATTAGTGTCCAGGATAGCCTATTTTTCACACTTTGGAACAGCAATAACTCGAACACCGTTTGAAAAGTCAAGGTGACTGTTTAAATGGCTTATACGTAGTGTTTTGTAAGCTTTCTAATGCTATAATTTATTTTTTCTATAAGTGAATCTGAAATTTCACGTTTTTAACAATACAGGAGTTTAGTACGAAAATCGAAGAAATTGAAAAACGTGTTGGCAGGTGCCCACAAGGCATTTGAACTATGTCAACATACAGAAATGTACAAGATTACTAGCGTTAAAGGCACAGTATGAAGGCAAAATAAAATTTCTCTTGCTCGGGTGAGTTTTCCCTTCCTATCTGCCTTACTATGCATGACAGTCCATGATTGTATAGTTGTTATTTCACATACACATTTAGTATAATTACATAGGTAATTATTAAAAATTAATGAGTGATCAGTTCAAAATGGCAGCCGAAGCCGTTTTGTCAATTAAATGACGAAGAAATGTGTTTTTTCCCCAAATAATCACCTATGGAATTATACTATTAACATTTTTCACCTCAGGCTCGGTGATTATCGTGAATAAAAACCTCGACTTTGTCTCGGTTTTTATTCAATGGTAATTGCCTCGCCTTCGGCGAACAATTGTTAAGTAACGTGCATATGCATGCATAATTTATTCATTCATTTGTTGCTACAGAGGTGTAACCACGTGGGGGTTGGGGATTGAGGTGGGGCATGACCTCTTAATGTTTTCATCTATGACATAAAATGTACCAAACCTGTGTTTTTTTTATTAACATAAAACGCATAAACTAGCGTTACGTATACCCTAAAAGTAGAACAATTTTTCAGGGGACCAATGCCCCTGGACGACACCCCTTGGCTACGGCCCTGTCTATTTGTTATTGACTGAGCTTGTTTGGTCCGGACTGGAGGGTATGTATGTCTTGTATATAGGACTGGTGAGGTCCATGATGATACGAACAAAAATAGAACGAGCGTAATATTCTACTGCCCTGTCCGAACAATCTCAGTCAATAAGTTAATATTTATTATATGGCTAAAAGAAAGACCAGTCTTGTGTATATACAACTTAATGTTACATTAATTATTTATAGTTTTCTTTACTGGAAAAAGAGTAGTTAAAAGTGGTTCATCTTAGCGGTTAGTACAATTAACCGACCGCTTAGGAATCACACCAAGATGTTGCATTTCATTGCAGATACCGACGTGTTTTATTAACTAGTCCTTATCATTTATAATCACAGCAACCTATGACAAAGCTATAGTCCAGTTTCGAGTGCAATTTGGATCCAGAAAATGATTTTGCATTCAAGATGCTGTAAAGTCCGTTCTGCGCATATATTCTGCGCATCAACACATTCCATCAGTGGGGGAGCAAACTTTGGAATGTTGTTAATATTTCGCACCTTCCGAACTTTCTTGAATTGAATCTCTAGTCTGCATTCATTTACAAACATGGCGAACCGGAAGAATGTTAAAAATTCAGTATAATATATATCTAATCATATTTTACAACTATAGCACTGAGTTCAAAATGTAAACAAAGCGTTTTTTTTACATTATGGACTTTACAGCACCTTTAATGCAAAGTGTTTTAATTCAGTTTCGGACCTTTCCATTAAACCTTATTGGAGGAGTGATCATCGTTTCAAATTGCACAAAACTAAACTAATGAGTACTGCGCGCATGGCTATATTTTCATTGACAAAGAAGTAAATAAATATAAACAGCTAGATTGTCTATACGTGTATTTATAGATGAAGTAAGTTTGGTATAAAAGACCAAACAACAATATTTGTATTTTTTTAATTAATAAAAAAATGTTTATATTTTAATGCGTCTGTTTCACTAACAACAATAACGTAATTAAGAACTGGATTTTTGGAAAGATCCACAGACGTCTATGCCATATAGAGTCAACAAAATTAGGCCATGCTGCATTTACAGGGCATGCCAATTATTCCGACGCATTCCGTGTTGTTTGGAGTCGGTTTTTGAAGTTTACCGGGCAAGTATTTCCTTCAGCAACAATTGTTTTGGATATTATAATCAGCTTAAAGAGAACTAATATAAATTTAAATTACATTATCAATCAGCACCCTATTGAGTTTTGCGGCAGAATTGTATTATTCCGAATATATATCCAGCTGGCAGGCACGTCAATCGTGCTTGCCACGCACTATCATTTTACCTGCATATACATTCATTCATGCCAAGGTAGGTATGTAAATATAGTGAGTGCAGTTGACTGTTCACATGCATGCGAGGTGTTTAATGCATTTCTATAGCGATGGTGGTAAAATTACCTGCAGTATTATGGACATTTGTGACAGTAATGTCACTTCAATGCAGTGACTGCCTGAACAGCGTTCGTGCGAACCGCAAGATTCGTTCCAGTTCCAAGGTAAGCTAAATCTCGTCTGATCACAGAAATTCAATGCGAAATGTTTACATTGAAATATGAATGCATAATTCGACCGATCTCACAACAGTCAGAAAATCTAGGCCAGTTTTGGTCGATTTCTACGTATTGCATATTTTATTTCAAGACACTTAGAGGAAATATTTCGTATCTCAAGTAAAAAGTTATATTTGTGCCAGCCAGGACCTAATAATACTTTAGAGTAGAGAATAGCGGCAAATATACCAGATATACAATTAAACATGTACAAATATGTACAATATAGTAAAAGCGTGGCGTGCCATCTTTTGTGCATATGACTAAGCATATGGAGTCAAAGTGTCAAGCATGTAAGAGATCCTGTCAAGGAGAAAATTAGACTTGTAAAACGAGAGTAAAACAAATGAGCGAATAAAACGAACGGGCGAGCTTGGACAAATCCCCTATTTCGAAATCCGCACTTTAACCTGAAATATTTGAGCCCAACTGTGAAGCTAAATAATACGACTTAATTGTAGGATAAGTCTATGAAAAAAAAATAGTTTGACATGTATCAAAATGACAATGAAAATAATGTCATGAAAATTATTGAACGGCCCGTTCAATATGCCGAATCGTGATGGTTGAGTGGTTATATAACATAATAATACATACGTTCTTTTGAATTTAGTAAAATTTGCCATGCCCGTTTTATTAGTTTGTGTCCTTGAGACATTATTGTACAATTAGTAATTGTACAATTCATAGTATGAACTACAGTGAGCTAAACCTTGCGAGCTTTTATTAACCGATCGTATTATCTTGTATACTAACTAGACAACGTGCTAGTAAACTTATCTAGCGGAAAGTCGGAGGCGGATATTTTGAATAAGATAATGTATAGGCAAGATCTTTTTGGTCGATAATATCTGCTCACTTTGTCCCCCAAGGCATAACTATGGCTCATTCGACCAACCGGACTTTGTGAACAAATTCCAATCAATTTCATACACCTCCCTTAAAAATGATGCTAGCATGCAACTCATGAGGATTTATGAAAATAATAAAACGTCAAAATATAGTTGTGCAAACAGGTTTAAAATCGTATGCAATTATGCAAATCTGCTCCAACTATGTTTTTATCTTCGTCTTAAAGTTCCAGTTCGCTTGTAATTAAAATCTCATCTTTAATAAATTTATTATCAGCTCGATATAGTTCGCAAACAAATGCTGCGTTTCGGTACGATGAGGGCAAATCGAAGGGCGGAGGAGTGGTTCCTGGTTGGTTATTATTTGTGTGATTATATTTTACATATGTGATAGTATATATTTACATTTTGTTATTTTGCAAGGATATCAAGACCCGAAATGAATATATCCATATACAATTCACTGACACTGACGTGAACAATTGTTTTAGCATATACCATATAACGAAACAAAAAAATGACAAACTGAACGGTAACTGATCAGCGAAAATATTTTTAAAACAGTACTCGAAATTAATCCCAGTAAGTAAACAAAGCAGTATTGACAAGCCTAGCTTTAGTGTTTTACTAATTCGATTCATTAGAATAGATTTGATGGATACTGTAAACCACTGATAATATAACTTTCTGGCTTGTTTTGTGTTTGGCGGAACCACAGCTTCGTTTAGTAAACAAATCGTTCGTCTGGAAGTGGGAAGATATTTTGTTTTGGTCCGCAGGTGAATAGTGTAAGGATATTAGAAGCAGAACAACCAATCATGTCAATCAAATTGGACGAAAAGCACCATTCGTCTTCCTAGCTAGTATATCCTAAAACTGTTTATTCATCTTAGTAAAATGTATTGTTTATGTACTGCGTTGTTGCTTGTCATTTCGCGCATGAATTTCCTATATCTTATCAATTTCTTAAATGATAACGCAGCATGAAGCACGCCCCCAAACCATTTCGAAAGCCCGCCCATTGTGTTGGCGAAAGTAAGGCTTGCATCCACTCTCTCAATTGTGATACACTCGCAATGCCCCTGGTACGACACTGCTCTGATGTGACATTCATTTCATGGTGGCATGAAATGGAACGCATGCAACGTTATTTTCTAAAAACAATTCAGCTTCATGAGTCATAAGGCTCTTTTATTTTCACTCATCGCAAAAACAGCTCGCAACAATTGCAATATGTATAATATTGTATTTGCAATATGTATAATTGCAATATGTATTGTCATAAGGCTCTTTTATTTCCACTCATCGCAAAAACAGCTCGCACAATTGCAATATGTATAATGTTATATTTTCATAGCAGGGGTTTCGTTAGAAATTCTAATGAAACGGAAATTCTTGTAATTCCCATCTACTGAATGCTTCATACAACTATCATATTACATCATATAATATAGTCATTATTGTTTCCACAAGCAGCTGCTAGAATAATTCATTAGACTGTTCAATATAAATATCGAAAATACAGTCTACTGTGAAATTCATGATCACACAAATCTACATATTACGAATCAAAACAGGTTTCGCGAATAGTTTGGTTAAACACGCATTTGGTTTCTTTTTCATCAAAATATGAGTTTTGCCAATGACAATGTGTTGGGTGCCAGCAGTTAAAGGCATTAGATTTTCAACATACTGTAATGTTTTATTCTACATGCCTCCTAAGGGGACAATCACATTGGTTAACCCATCAGATTGAAAAGAAGAAGCCGTAGGAATTCGAATTAAACAACCGTTTCTATTCTTAATTTTTGCGGTAGGCAGTCCTACAGTAAACATGAAAGATATCCGAGTACTCCGATATCTGGCAGTACTAACCTGATCGCAACGGGTGACTTCAAAATATTCAGATATTATAACACTTTGTATCCAAAATCAACAACTGCCACTGCATGAACCCTTTTGTCCCTATTGAGAAGAAAATATTTTGCTATAACCGATCTTATTGTTCTCAAGACTAACGCAATCAAGAGTAAGATAATCAAACTATATAGGTCTCGCCTTACAAATTTGTTTTTATGATAAAATGTCATGAACTTTTGGCTTCATTTTTGGTCCCCTATATACCTGAAGGCTAAAACATTCATGCATAATTGCCTCTTCGTTGGTAGGGATGCAACTACCTGAAAAATATAAGGAGAATTTCGACGTTCCGAGCGAAGGCCCTTCGTTTGGAGTTACCGAGTGACTATATCATGACAAAATAAAACAACCTCACGAATGGCAAGGTTCTCGTTTCGGGCTCGTACGCGAGAAAAAAACTCGTAGGAGTTGCATTAAGCCCCTTCAAACGAGGCCAATATCGGCTAGTCCCAACATCACTCAACATTGTTGTATGTAAAAAGTTGCTCTGGTTTGAACGCTTTTGTTGCATGGTTGATTTTGTAGGATGTTGAATCGGATTCAACTTTGTTAAAATTTTCACTAGTACACAATTCGACAATTACGCGTGATCACTGGCATTCGACGATAACATGTGATCATTGGACGCGCTCCAACACTGACCAACATTGTTGAACCCGCGGCAAAAATTATGAAACATTGGAGAGGAAATGGGCATTTTGCAGCTTGCTGATAGAGCCAAATTCATGTGCAAAACATAGAAAATATTTTTTCGTCATTTGACTTCAATTCAAATGCCTTCGAGTCCAGGCTTTATCGACACTCTTGACTGTTTTACTTTCATCTGTGGAAAAAGTTTTACTAAAAGTTTGGGTATTCCTGTTGATTTTGAGCTTTTAACCTTTCTTTAGCACAAAAACTGGAAAATATATGTTTTCAAAGTTGTATATTACTTGTCGCTTTATCAAAATATCCCAACTTTGCCTCCGGAAATTGGACTTTAGCTATATCCGAGGAAAATTTTTTAGCCAATCAGATAGCATAAATTACCTCCCCCCACCCACTAGAAAGTGTCAATTTGTCCCTATGGATTTTTCTGCTAACAACTCACAAGCTATTCTTTTATATAAATCTCTATATGGTTGTACCAATAATAATGGACGATGGCGGGCTCGTCTGAACGGGGACTTTGCCGGGCCTGAGATTGCTGCCTCTATCGCATATGAGCTGTGTTTTCTTCCTCTAAAATAGATTATCACAGAGATCATTGAATTGGAAGAAGGGACTGAAGAAACCTATCTCAACTGTTCTACAAATATAAATGGAACAAAACTCAAGGTTGAATGGAAAAAAGATGGTGTAATTATATCTGAATTGCATTCCTGGGATGTTTGTCCAATATACGATGCGAATTGTGATCATGATGGCAAATACACATGTTTTGCAAACGGCTCTAATTCGACAGTTATAATTTTGAAAGAATTCGTGGTCAAAATATTAGGTATAATAATAAAACTTTCATTAATTTCTGTCACTGACTAATAAGATATTTTATTAAAATAATGGTTCATATTCATGTTTATTATAAGTAATAACATGGCTTGAGGGAAATTAGTGATTGAATGACCACGTAACCCGAGGCAGGTTTGCGAAGCCCGAGGGGATTCCGCGGACCTGCCGAAGGTAAGTGGTTTAATCAGTAGTCTCCCGATAAGCCATGCTATTAGTTTGTAATAGCATGGTTGAGTTCCCACCAAAAAACGGACACACATGCCCTACTTGCTATCAGCGAATTTAAGCTAAAATTATTTGCTTCTTTGCTTGTGGGATGTAAAAGCTTGTTGGACATGCGCATTTTTTACGCTCTAATCGGTTACGCATGCGCAATCTATCATTTAACGTACCACAACAAAAACAACACAGCAAATATCATGATTATTAGATTACACTGATATCGAAGGAACTAGACTCAGTTCCGAAATATCGCATACTCGAACCGACCTGACCGCGTAGTTCAGTTGGCAGAGCATTGGGCTAGTATTCCAAAGGTCGTCGAGCGGGCGATTAGAACTAATCGCCCGCTACAGTGGGCGATTAGTTAGTAATCGACCCGGTAAAAACAAAAGAAACCATCGTAACTATGCCATTTAACAATTAGACAACGAGGCTGAGTTGTCTATGAGCGAATAGTCAACGAGGCGAAGCCGAGTTGACTATTTGCTCATAGACAACGAGGCCGAGTTGTCTAATTGTTTTAGTATAAACTTTAACATTAATTTACAACTAGGCTGCAAACACAATACAAAAATACACAAAAAAACATTCTAAAACCATTAAAGGTAAACAAATATTTTAGTTTTTGTTCGCGTAAAATGTTTTACAAAATTCAGTTTTAATTTTAAAATTTCATTGAGTGTATGTTAATAATTTTGTCTATTTTCTTACCCTTAAAAATTGCCATTCCATATTTTTGTTGCTTTTTTTTCGCGGTTTTTTAGTACAGAATTGTTCAACAAGTCGTCCAAAAAATCATCAGACACTTCGGCAAAAGTGCAAAACGCGAATTTTCCGCCATTTTGAATTTTCTATTAGTAGGCTATCACTAATAGCCTACTAGTAGCGCAGCCAATCAGGCCTTCGCGCAAACTAATGTCATATGTCACGACTATAGTGACTTGAAAAACGCCGGGCAAAGAGAAATTTTCCTATTATGTAATAAGGAGAATGGCATGATGTTAATTTAAAACTGCAGCATTGAAAGACGTTAGAAAGATAACTGAAAATCAAAAAACCTCAAAAGTCTTTATAATATTAGAGTACCACCATTAAGATGTAGACATTAAAAATGAAGCATGCCAGTTTATGTTTGTTCAAATGAGCATGCATGACACATAAACACTATGAGCATACAGTCTGCGGCTGTTGACAACTAAACTCAACTAGAGTAAATCCATTTACGAAGCCAAATCCGAGTCAATTCCGAGCCCGGTCAAACGCCCGAGTCACGTGAAAAAGACGAAATTGAATAAAAACGCAGCCAAATAGAGTTGGGAATGGGTTAGGGTTAGGGTTAGGGTACTAAATCATTGAACCGACAAAGACAGCTAAACACTTTATCTCATACCTAGGGTATTAGCGGCTTTCCTATTGGCTACGAGGAGGTTCGTTCAATCTCGAACCCACCTGCTGACGTATGTTTAGGAGGCTGGTTCGAGATCGATGTTTCGGCGGCGGCTGTTACGAAGCGATTTGAACAAATTTCAGACGAAGATTTTAATAAAAAAATAAAATAACTGTTTTTAATTGTTCTATAATTATTATTTTTTTATTTGTTGGATGGAAATGAAACATTCTGTGTTCAAAGTGGAAAAAAAAAAGATTACCGCCGAAATTTGTTCGGCAAGGGCAGGTTTATATAAATCTTGGCAATGTTTTCGCAAAATGTGTGCATTTTCTCTTTTCAAGAATAAGGGAATATTGTAGAGAATTTTTTTAGCTTCGATTGAAGCCTAAGTTTGTTTGTTTGCGTGGTATGTTGGCGGCTAAAATGTTCATTATCCAAACAAGAAATTATATACTAAAATGCGTAAATTCTTCAGCACGTTTTACCGAAAAGGCATGTGATAAGAACCAAACATACTTGCAGGTTCGGTGAGTCCGAGATTGGACGCACCTCGGGTGGCTGCAAGTTTCCTGAACCCACCTCGCTTTGCTCGGTGAGTTCGGGAAACTTCCAGCCAGTATGTTTGTTATAGAGTCAGACATTTGACTCGGACTCGGATTTGAATTGGTTAACCGACAAACGCCGAAATTGAATAAAATTCACAGTCGAATAGGGTTTGAGTACATTAGGAGTGGGGTTAGGGTTAGGAGTAGGGTTAAGGTTAGGATTAGGGTACTGAGCCATTGAACTACAAAGACAACTAAACAGTGACTCGGACATTTGACTCGGGCCCGGATTTGACTCGGGCTCGGATTTGACTCGGACTCGGATTTGACTCGGTTAACCGACAAACTCAGTCCAACTCTAACACAACTGCATAAATTTATTATTCCCGTAAACCTTATAACCTTATTATTTTGCCGAAAACAGTCATCACAAAAGACAAATCCTGGAACTATGGTTGTGAACAAATGTGTAGAATGATTCTTTTGACATCAGAGAGAAAATTAATATGAAGCAACGTATAGTTAAACGAAAATTTCACTGCCAAACCTGAAGCTTAAACTCCGTTTAATATATCTTGCAGGTAGATTAGCCCTTACAAAATGGTTAGATACTATGCCCCATCCACATACTTCCACCTTCTACATGCAGTTAGTAGTAAGTTTGGCAAATACAACGGCAACGTCATCATGCATCAACAACAGAATTTTTACTGTCAAGACGAACCGCATGTTATGTGTTACAATTTTTCTTGCAACTTGTAACGCAACAGCGTTGTGTAACGCCCTTATTTGGTAACTGGTAATTTATAGACCAATTGCGAAACTTAGTGGCCGCGCCTTCATACTGCACGAGAACGAGGCTTATTATGCAAAAACAAAACAATTTCTATATTTTTATATAGCGAAAGTAAATTTTAGGGGTTTTAAAGTGTTTTTTCTTGAATCTCTTTGATCTTTTCTTAATATTTCGTGTTAGGTTATATAAATATTTGTTAAATTTATCTAAACATTGATTTCCCACCATATTTTTACCCGCTTTGGAGAGATATTTCGTTGTTGTTTGGGGAGATATTTCGTTGTTGCATGCGATGGAACAAACATATGGAAAAGATCAATCTAGACTTTAAAATCTGATCAAGATGCAAATAAAATAGCCAGTATACCTTAACAAACTAAAATATAGCTCTTTCTACCCAGATTTTTTTACACTTTGTGAGAGAAAAAAGCGATTTTGTCAAAGGATAATAACATAAAATTTCTACAAATTTTGCCCGACATTTACTTTCATATTTTTAAAGTCAAAATCGAAAACTTGCTATTATATTACAACTGAAACAAAATTAATCAATGTTACCACTTATTCTTTGAAATGTATTAATAAAACAGACGGAAAATACCTGATTCTTTCTCTGGTATAATCTGCTTCTTTTATCGGACGGCGAAAAACAGCAAAACTTTGCCTCGCACGCCGCGAAAAACAGTGAAATTTGAAGTAAGACTAAATCTATGAACAAGTTTAATACAGATTTACATAGTCAAAACAAAAATATTGAAAAAAAATGAAGAGATTACCATAAAAACGCGTCTTAAACACTGAAATTAATTTTTCGCCATATAAAAATATAGCAGAACGATTTGTTTTTGCATAATAAGCCTCGTTTTCGTGCAGTTTGAGGCGCGGTCACTAAGTTTTGCAATTGGTCTATTTGTTTGTTTATTTAGCTTTGCCAACTAGGGAAGGGTCACCACAACAGCATGTGCCAATTACTGTGGGCCCTTTTACCTAACCCACCCTGTCAACTTTCTCTATGGGAGGGAACCGGAGTACCCGTGGAAAACCGACGACATTCGGCAGAGCCAGAGGCGTAGCCAGGGCTGGGGCCGGAGAGCCCGGCCCTCCTGGCAAAATTTTGGGCCCCCTCCTGGCAAAATTTTGCCCCCTCCTGATAAAATTTATTGTACTGCTAAGGGTACCTGCAAGGTAGGGATTGTTGCGGGCATCAAGAGCAAAAAGAACTAATAATAGTACAAATTACATAAAGCATGCAGTTATTACTCGCAGCGAGCCGGCGACTTGTGAGCGCTGTGGTTGGAGCTTAAGGAATACGGAATCGATTCATGCCATGAGTGTCTGAGAAAAAGCAATGGCCAATGTATTTGTTGCCAAGACCATGCACGGGTTCAAGAGCAATCACAGATTACAAATAGGCGTGTTAATGTTAATGGAAGTAATATTCACTAAAACATAAGCAAGAATATGTAATATTTTCAAGATCAAGTGGAATTTGTTGAATTTAATACGCGCTGCTTTAGTACGCGTGTGAATACAAACGACAAAGTATTCTTATTAAGACGTACAGTTAAATTATAAAACACAGTTTTTGCTACCTGATTTCATATTATTACGTCTAATACTGCTAGGCGCATTTACTACATTGTATACACAGTATTTAACTAAGAAACCGAAACTTTATAATAAATTAAAATATAGAACTTACAGTAGTCAAAGTCCATTGAGTGAACAACGCACGTAGTGCAGTCACGTTATTTTATACACTAAATTATGATGGCCTTTACAGGGCTTAAAACTTTACTAAACCTTACGCCGAGTGCCTGAGTCAAAATAATTTACAAGTCGAAGCAAGCAATACAATTAACAATTATTCGCCGAAGGCGAGGTGATTATCGGGGAATATTCGCCGAGACGAAGTCGAGGTGAATATTCCCCGATAATCACCGAGCCTGAGGCGAATAATTGTTTTAGTAGTTTTGCACAAGTTTTTTGTTTTTTTCTTGTCTGGATTCATTTTAATTTCGCTTATTTCTTTATCACTAACCTCAACAAAACGGCTAGCCGCCCATTTGAAAATTTCGATTTTCTTATATTTACCTGTTGGTGAATATAATAGATTTAATACGTCAAATTTGACCAATCACTTTGTAGGATTTGTTATGTTCACTTAAACGACATCCTTCAAATACGCCTCAAATATTGTATGTCGACCACAATACAATTTGCTAACTAAAATTTACTTCAAAACCTGCTATCTGCGCATATTAGAACGCTGCTACGCTCGCTCGCTTTAGGCTCGCTCGCTACGCAGCAATAAGAAAGGGAATCCTTGATTATATAGCTTCAAGTTGAGACCCGTCGGAAAATTGTCAATGTTGTCGGAATCTTTGTGGTGAAGCATCGGAAAAAGTGATATGGAAATCGGGAAAAGTGCTACCAAAGCAATTGTGATGTCCGGAAATTGTTTTACCAAAAAAGGTGTCGACTGGGGGGGATTGGTCGGAGAGATTTAAAATGTTGTCGCCTGGGAATTTTTTGGCCCCACCTGGGTTTTTGCTGCCCCCCTGACCAAAACTCTTGGCTACGCCTCTGGGCAGAGCGTTGACATTTACTCTTTTCACATGAGGACTGGGTTCGGGTCGCATTGAGAAAGTCTTTACTGAGGCTTGAACCTACTGCCTCAGAGGTGAAAGGCAAGTGCGCTAACTACCTGGGCACCAAAGCCACCTAATGGAATGAGAAAATGCATTGCAAGTTGCAGTTGGAAAGAAGGTTCAACCGGTTTGTACTTTTCGCAATGCCGCGCTACAAGTTGCAACTTGGATCGCAATATTTGAAAAATTAACCAGTCACAACACAGACATGCCACTGCAACTTGCAACATTTTTTTTTGAAAAAAATTGTTGCAAGAAAAAATTGCATCGCGTAGCATGGCCTTAAGACAGAGGTGTTATTTACTTCGCTGCTTATTACTTATAGAGTTTGAACAAACATATAATATCAGACAAATACTATAAGAAGCACTAATTTTATTCCTTAATCTGTTTTTAAAATGAAACTTTAAAGCCACGCAAGATAATTCAGCATGTGGAACCGCTGGAGAAGGTATTGTTGTTATATTTACTTAGGTTCAGGTTTGGCTTCCACTATACCGTTACCATTGAGCGACCATTAACCATGCAATTCGATGCATTAACCAATTACTAAGCCAGTGAGAAGTAGCAGTAGTGGAAGTCAAATCTGAACCTCTGTATTGTTACACTTGAGACGTCATAATTTTAGAACTAATACTACATTACAATATACTGGTGATATTATGCTGCGCGTTATTGTTCACTTGGTAATATGATAAGAAGAAAATGTTCTCGAGTAAGATATATATATCATACCGCTGTGACGCTGTCTGGACATTATTATACATATCTATATATATGCAGGCAAAACATACATATAAACAAAAATATAATCAGAAAAGAGCACATTGTTTGTAGTTATTCCAGACATTCTCCCTCCCTTTACTGACAGAATTTCAACTTTTCACAAAAAAGAGTTTTGGGCACAACTCGCCCCTGGCTACGACACTGAAATAATATTGTTTTTTGTGTTTTCGTTAAACAGAATTAGTGCAGAGAAGTGAAATATGCATCGTCCCTACTACACAAGACTATCCATGTTGCCACTACCATATCCCTCCACCAGGAATGTTGCATTTGAGTCGAAAGATTTCCAGTGATGTTAAGAACAAATGTAAGCTGGATACATTAAAAAACCCAACACCATGGCAAATTGATGTGGCATGGAATTTAACGCATAATGGTAAATCTTAATCAATCTTTTACTTTACTATTTCTTTTTAGTGCATCAGTTTCTTGTTCATATGCCTAATGTATCAGTCACTATTTACAGCCTTATAAACTATACCATAAAACTATATGTCATTCCGAAGAAAGTGTGCATTTAACACATTACATTAACAACACATCTATTGCACATGAAATAAAATATGGACACCTTTTTCGGAATAACATTAGTATTATAAAACTTCCAAACTTTGCAACTTTGGAAGCTATTGATCTAATGAATTTTCAAAATGCATATCACTCTCTATATATAAATTTTGGAAATGTTCTTGTTCGTTTAGTGAGTCTATGTACAGTTGAACTCTTATTGAACACATTTTCCGTAGATTTGTCCGTATGCCATTTCTACGCAAAGCAATGCAATGCAATACAATGCAATGCAATGCAATGCAATACAATACAATGCAATGCAATGCAATGCAATGCAATGCAATGCAATGCAATGCAATGCACTTCAATTCAATTCAATTCAATTCAATTCAAAATAATAAAAATTCAAAAGCATGCACGAGCGTTAAAATTATTTTTATCAACCTTTGCCTGTGACGCTGATGTCGATCAAGGACACTAAAAACCTAATTTGTTTTAGACAAGAAAACACTTGAAAGAGCAGGAAAGCATATATGATTGAATAACTATTTTAATGGTTTTGCCTGTAATATGCCGCACAAAAATAATACACTTAATTTCCCTATAAAATTATATTCCTGTAATACTCCTACACCATTATAAATGTCTTCTATTCAGACTATATTTTTTGCAACCAAAAATGGCTCTTCGATGAAAGAATTTTCTACAAAATTTCTTCGAAATCGTTGCAAAACAAACGTTTTTCGTCGCCAATTTTCTCAACCGTGCAAGTCCCAGTGGCGAAACTAGCCATGGCAAATGCTAATAAACCTGTACCAAATTAGTTTAAAAGACAATGAATTACTATATAGTTTGAATAATACAATAATTTTAAAATTTGCATAGCATGCGTTATGATCCATGGATGAGTAGTCAATCAGAATGCTGCATCTTGTAATAAACTGTGCATGGTTGAGTGTTACACGTATAAATATGAGTTAACGCTTATTCCTAGAGGCCGAGTAAGGGCCACCCCTTATATAGTTATTAATTATTTCTTCTAAAATAGCTACATGGATATGGGGTTGGCAAGTCAGCTTTAGTGGACTTGACAACTCTGTTGGTGTTAAAGGATGTGTCCAAATCAATAGTAAGGTAAGATTGCGTCTTTCTTTGGTGTACGTATACGCAAGCATCCATTTGCTTTGGTGTGCGCAGGCATGCTTCTAACTACAAAAATATATTGTCTGTTTTATAATAACTTTCTTCAAACCAGATAAGCATGCAGCTCCAATATTTGACATAACTCTTGAGAACATTCCGGCCAATATTGTAAAGTTATTGCTCATTGAGAAAACAAACTTCGTCTCCACCATTCCCTCAGTTCAATCTGAAACAAATTTTAATATTTTACCATGACTCAAGCTCAACATTGAGTTGATGATTAAGTGGACCGGGGGCTTAAAAAACGCAACATGAATTGACATGGAATTTATCATTATAGGGGTATACGAATTTTGAATAGAGGGAAAGGTAGTCTCTACCACTTATATTCAAGATTGTAGAAATAGCACCTCCCTTTCCCTCCCCTCTCCCTTCCTCGCTCTAACACAATATTATTGAAAAAAATATTATTCTATATGATTCTTGCGCACACATCAATATGGTACAGGAAGTAGGGGGAAGGGTGGGATTTTTGAATTCCAAGATTGTAGAAAGTGGCAGAAATTAACCTATTTGCACTCACCATTATTTTAATGGCTGATTTAGCTTTCCAGGTTAAAATTTCCAACTAATTGTTTATTTTACGTAAAGGTTTGAGGAAACTCGCAACGAAATTTTTGACTATGTACAAATGAACATCCAATGAAAATGCTAAAAATCGAACAGCTGAATGCTAACTTATAATTAACAATTTGATTTATTAGAGTAGGTTGCTGAACTGGACATTTGATGGTCTACCGTTTGGGAGTAAATACGAGATCAAAGTGCAAGCGCTACCATCAGATTTAACAAATTACATTTACCAAACTATTGTCCTTCCAAAAAAGAGAGGTACGCAGATGCAACATAATAATATAGTTTTTCCAAACACACAGATTATTTTATTCTCTAGCTTTATCACGCATATACATAGATTTTGCATTGTGTCTAACTCTGGAAATTCTTGCTAGTTTATTTTAATGCATTTCTTGGTGCACGGCTCTGAAAATCCGAAATTTGGATCGTCGAATTCCCGTGCACGATCATATAAATATACTGAATCTGAATATAAACGAGGCAAAGACAATTTCAAGGTAAAAGGTTAGAACTTAAACTGCACAACGTAGTTTTAATAAATAACTACTTTATGAGAAGCATATTGGTGTCATATCAATATGAAATTTATCGAACAACAGTCCGTGAAAACTGCAGTGTACTCAGTGTGAAATATGATGTTGTATTTGTAATGCCTATTAATGCAATATAGATAAAAACACCACCGTTCGATTCAGCGTAAGAAATTGTACTTACGGATGCCAGATGTATTATTATAAACAACAGTATTCTAGCGATTTATGGCCTTTGAAAATCTGTTGACAAATCACTTGCAGTACGTTTGTCCTTGTATTTGTATTGCCTAATTAATAGCGCAATAGCCAATAAGAATAAAATTAAATACCACCGTTCGATTCAGCATAACAAATTGTACTTATACGAATGAGAAATTGTACCTACGGATGTCAAATGTATTACTAAACAACTGACACCATTATTTTAGCGATTTATGGCCTTTGTCTCTGAAAGTCAAGCCAAATTGTATTATTTGTTGACAAATCGCTCAAATTATAAAAAATGCAGTACGTTTGATCCTTGATAACTTTGGTATCGTTGGTTTTCTCTTCTTCGGCCGTATACCAGTGGATTCGTCTCACTTCTCTCTTCATTTTGATAATATTTTGAGCCCAAAAGCCCCCAAATATTTTAGTTTGGACGTTTTAAACTGGCGGCCGACAGAAGAATGTAGCGTACTATAAAATATAACTTTACTTGTGGGCATAAACGCCAGAAGTTTTATTTGTTGGGACCGCATTTTAGTGCAATCTTCCATTTTCGTATTCGACTTTTCCGCTTAGCTCGGGGCCAGGCTTAGATCTTAATTGAAATAGCTGTGTCCTGTACGGCTGTACCTGGTATCATATACAGTAATGTGCGTATTTGTATAGCCCCGGCGAGTTAACGCTCCATAGAGCGTCTTATTCAATTAAGATTGTCCTCGAGCAAAGCGGAAAAGTTGAATACGAGCGCGAAAGCCTTGCTGGGAGTCGCTAACAAAATCATGAATTTTTAGCGATTCCCAGCAAGCCTTTCGCGCTCGTATTTGACTTTTCCGCTTTGCTGGCAGACAACCTTAATTGAAATAACTGTATACATATACAACTACAGTGCACGATCATAAATTGCTGCCACAACTTGACAGCTATAGATAGGCTTGCTCATCTTAGTTGTCGATTTCTGGTCGTGTGTAAGACAATGCACTCGTTATTTACAATTGTCAATGTCTACAATGATATTGTGTACATTTTTAAAAGATTGGACAAAAATAATATATCTTTAGTGCCGCAGCCAAGAAGAGGGGCAAAGTGGCGGGGGGAGGAGGAGGTATTGCTCCCCAATAACCTCTATGCAGAATGCAGAGCTGTAGTTCTTCTGAAAAGTTGAACTGGCAAAGCACTGCAAGGTCTGGAATTGCTAGAAATACGATAAAATATTTCTTAACGATATTGTTTGTTTCAAAACTCGTTCTAGAATGGGAGAAATGCTGTTCTAGAGACCCTATAGAAATGATAAATTTCTCCCAGGGCGCACGCTTACGGACACCCTTAGATTTCATATGCCGAATCAATAAATGTTTGCTGAACCTTCTCCACCCCATTCCCCCCCCCCCAGAAATTAATTGTGTACGTGTAGTTGGCCAAAATTTTTAACTGAAACAGTTATTCTGCATTATTGTTAACAAATGAAATTAAAATGCGCATGAAATAGTTTTTCGTCGTCAAATATTTTTTCCCCGTTCTTTTAACATTTGTCTATTTCCAGATATTTGCAAAAAGATTGGTCGAAAATGTCATTGGGAAATATGCTGTAAGTCATGATGGATCTATGAAAATTGATTATATCAACAGCGCGGCCCTATAAAGAAACACAAATTCGTTATCTTTGTATAGTCGTTTTCAGACAATACACTGATGTTTAAGAAAAGTAATTTTCATCGACTCTATTTGACAATCGCTTTTGCTCATTTTGCGTTCAGAACAATGAATTAATTGCTTCGTTCTCAGAAAACTTCAGCCTAAATCGGTCAATGGAGCTCTTCTGAACAGCTTCGGCTGACCGTAGTTATGAGCTGACTCGTCATGTTTCAAAGATATTAGACTGAAAGGTATTGAAAAAGAATTGAATTATACATGGCAGGTTTTAGAACATCATGTAAAGAAGAGTGAAAATCCTATGTTTTTTAATGCCTCAACGTCCTAAAGAGAAAGAACGACTGAACAAAAAACACGAACATCAAGAACATTCTTGATCTTTGGAAGGAAGCCAATATGCTCTTTAGGGAAAGGGAGTAAAAGAAAAGACCTTCGCCTTCTTCATGCACTGTTTATGTCAAGCATGTACATTATATATAACGTCGATAATTCTTCAGAAATTCTTAAAAGGGAAGAGAAACTTCGCATTCTTTTTTAATTTTTATTTTGGTTGTTTTGCTAAAAACCCCTCCCCCTAAAATTTAGTACGAATTAACGAAACAAATACACTCGTCGTACGCAGCCATTTAAAATTTAACAAATTTTTGGTAAAGTGAATAATAATCTGTGTAATCAGCGACCTGAAAAGCAGCTGCAATCATAAATAAATTGCTGATTTCTTTTTCTTTAGTTCCTGTAGAGAATGTGCAACAAGAGGAAATGTCTTCAGTCCTAACTTGGCACCTTTCAAAATACCATAAAACACTGCACGATTTTGAAATATATTACAGTAGTAGTGATGTCGATTGCAGTGACAGTGGAAGAAGAAAAGTTCAGGTAAATTGAAATTTAGAAAAAGCATTCAAAACATTGAACTGTGAAATAACAGTAAAGAATTATGGTAAAGTTGCACTAAAGATGGTAACGTAATGTTTTGTAATTTTATGGTTTACGATTATGGTTTATGTTTTACGAGTATTGCTTTTTCATTTTAGAATAAAACGCGCATTGTTCTGAAAATACATAAATGCCGAAACTATTATGTGAAAGTAAGAATCATTAAATATATGATATAATTATGCGCAAGGTACGGTGCAGTGCAATGATGTTATCTACCCCAATTATCCCATTAGTAAATAATTCACTCTTCTCGCTATATTTCGGTAGCAGAACATGATAGCATTCATATTTTTACAGTTTTAATAATCTTAATTTAATTTAAAAATGACGTATTGGTAAGCGTAATAAAATTGTTATATTACTCAGGTACGACCAATCTTTTCTAATGCTGAAGAAGGAACATTTAGTGAAGCAATCATATTTTTTCCGCCTCGAAGACCAAATAAAGGTGTGAGAATGCATATATTACAATTTAGTATTTTTGTATAATTGAGCATAATAAATCCTAGAAGGTGATTGGTCAAATTTGACGTATTAATCTGTTATATTCACCTGCAAGTGAATACAACAAAATCGAAATTTTCAAAATGGCGGTTAGCCGTTTTGTCGAAGTTAGCGATAAAGAAATAAGCGACATTAAAATGAATTCAGACCAGAAAAACAGAACAGATTATCGGGGAATATTCACCTCGACTTCGTCTCGGCGAATATTCCCCGATAATCACTTTGCCTTCGGCGAATAATGCTTAATTATTTTTATTTTTTATAATGCTAGTAAGTTCGACCAACTTCAGTTATTCACGTGAAGTTTGCATGTCAATCCTTGTATTAAGTGGCAGTCCCGCTAAGAGCGGTCCGATGACTTTGACTTCGGAAAATAGATTTCCTTCATTTTTTGTGTGTTGAAAGGCATTGGTATACAAGTGTCCCAAATAAATTTATTTTTTGAAAATTCTTTTTTATGGCTTCGCTAGACGCCGAAACTCATTTTACCCGTGCAGAGCTAATTTCAAGCAAAATCGAAGGTTGAATTTCGGTAAATTGTAGAGCCGCGCTGTGTCAAAACGCCTGACTATTTCCAAATTTCAACTAGATCAACAAGTTAAGATACAATTCAGGTTCCCTGTTCCAAAAAATAAGAGCATTTGAATAAATTGTGAATAAACGACAGCGACTTGACGGCACACCGGTTTTTGCTTCTTGTTCGGTCCACAAAATTACACGAAAATCGAAGCCTGAGATCTCCAAATGGGGACCTAAGATTACGCTGAAATGTGCTTGGCTGTAATGATTTATACTTATTTTCAGAAGATCTGAAGAAAAACCTGCGGGTATCAATCTGTATTTGGCGCGAGTTAAGATTTTCTGGAGCCCATAATCAATGATTTTGCATAATTTATAGCTAATTAACATATTTCTTGAGAGGCGCTAAAAGTAAACAATTTCTTTCTGACTAACATATCTCAGATGAAAGAAACTACCACAGCTAGTAATACCCTTTTTGTAAATATAGTCGTAATGTTCCTTTCCTGACACGCTGAGAGAGCTTTGTTTTTTAATGTTATGCCACATTTATTCAGTCTGACCAGATTCATAATGTCACGAACTTGTATATTTCAAAAATATCAGTACCAGAAATCAGAATTCAGAAAGACCGATTATTCTTTCCTTGATTCAGTTGATGGATATATTATATAATATATCCATCAATATAGAACATTCCATGTGTTTCCATTGCCCCTATTATATAGGGCTAGAATTTTTATCAATATGTTCTATTTTTCTGTGGCGACGGCAAAAATGTACGTTCGAATTTATGACCGACATATCCAGCCTCGTCCCTGGCGCTTTGATGTGCTTACTGGTTGCGTGACGCACGCGCGGGAATCGAGGTGCGTTGCTCCAGGGCGCTGTAAAACACGGGCGGTGAAACGGCTATGGCGCCCCTGATCTATGTGTGATGCAGGTCCCCCCGCATATTTTCATTTTTATTCGAATTCGACGTGGTTTGATCAGGCATGCATGTTTGTTTTGACTTCTTTTTAAAATTACTACGTAAAAAGGTACAATTCAAGCTGAATTCACAATGGATTTGGGATCTGTGCTATTACTATAGACAAAATCTTTTTTCCGGATTCTTAATCACGACTGATTATATGGGGAATGTTAGTGTAGTGTAAGATATATTAAAGTCTGGGATCTCACTCACGAGGATCGATTGTTTTTGCAAAACAACTTCGTTCGTTTATAAGATGAAAAAAAAGACGAAGACAAAGTTTTTTAAACGGCTGTTGTCGTAAACCCTGCAACTGGAATGTGTGTTTGGAAATCGGGTATGTTCAATCACATGTATTTTTGTCAAGTTCCACCAGATGAAGCGCCATAAATTGATAAAAACAGCAAGTTCTTTTTTCAAGCGATAGTTTGTTGTCGCAGTTTTACAAGCGCGGAAAATTTTTAACTTTTAAATATTTCATGCACAATATATGAAACCTATTTTTATTTTGATGTTTTTGTATAATTTAAGTACGTAATTTTCTGAAAATCACCAAATGAAAATGGGCTTTTTTAATTTTTAAACATTTTTTTGGCCTTGTTTGTGACATGTGCATGCCAAATCTACACATGAAATACAAGCAAGCGATAGTTTGTTGTCGCAGTTTTACAAGCGCGGAAAATTTTTAACTTTTAAATATTTCATGCACAATATATGAAACCTATTTTTATGTTTTTGTATAATTTAAGTATGTAATTTTCTGAAAATCACCAAATGAAAATGGGCTTTTTTAATTTTTAAACATTTTTGACCTGATTCAGTTTGACATGTCCATGCCGAAATCTACACATGGAATAGCATTGCCTTCGACTTTGCGTTTTTGAAATCTGACACCCTATGGAAAAAGCTGGAAAAAAGTATGTTTAAACAAAAAAGCCCATTCTCATTTGATGATTTTCAGAAAATTAGGTACTTAAATTATCCAAAAACATCAAAATAAAAATAGGTTTCATATATTATGCATGAAATATTTAAAAGTTAAAAATTTTCCGCGCTTATAAAACTGCGACAACAAACTATCGCTTGCTTGCATTCGTTATGGCATTGTGTAGATTTGGCATGCACATGTCAAAAATAAGGGCAAAAAATGTTTAAAAATTAAAAAAGGCCATTATCATTTGATGATTTTCAGAAAATTACGTACTTAAATTATCCAAAAACATCAAAATAAAGCTAGTTTTCATATATTGTGCATGAAATATTTAAAAGTTAAAAAGTTTCCGCGCTTGTAAAACTTCGACAACAAACTACATCGCTTGCTTGCATTCGATATGGCATTGTGTAGACTTGGCATGCACATGTCAAAAATAAGCCAAAAAAATGTTTAAAAATTTTAAAAGCCCATTATCATTTGGTGATTTTTAGAAGATTAGGTACTTAAATTATCCAAAAACATCAAAATAAAGCTAGTTTTCATATACTGTGCATGAAATATTTAAAGGTAAAAAATTTTCCGCGCTTGTAAAACTGCGACATCGCTGTGAACATGCAATTTGGAGTCTTTTGGCGGACATTTCAGTTGCATATTGCATAAAGTTCGAAAAGAGAAATAAAACAACCTTTAACATGGTAAAAACGGAATTTTCTGCTTGTTCCTTATAATTGAATATTTTCCCTAACTTTTATATTGCATTTGAATGCCTGAATATGTTAATGAAAATGTTTCCAATGCTTTCTAAATTGACAATTGTTTTCTAACTTTATCAAAACAAGGTCACAAGTTGTGTCATTGTAAATTACGCAAGTGACCTGGTCATAAATCTTTAAATTGAAAAAAAGCCCACAAAAGCCCATTTTCTAACCTTTTCAGATCGAAAGTATAACTAATTATAGATAATTTAAAGGGTTGAAGTTAACTTTTTTTCCACTCGGTCTGGCTAAAAAACTCGACTACAATTTGTCATTGCCTGAAAAATGTAAATATATTTTATGTTAAAATCGCTATGCCTTCAAATAATTTCACATTTTAAAAATGCTTTTCCAACTCCAGCGATGTAATTTGCAATACTAATTAATTGCCAGAGTCTCTATTTTATAACAAGTTAATTTTTTTCCATTTTAAGGATAAATTTACCTTAAAAATTTGCACTTTTTGATTGCCTTTTAAATATTTTTGTCTCTTGTTTTTGCTTCGCTTCATCTTTAAAAATCCCGCTTCATCCGCGCATTTCGCACGCTCGCGCCAGTCTCCCGTGCATCACACATGGATCAGGCAAATATTAGCGCGTTTCACCGCCCGTGTTTTACTACGCCCTGCATCCAGTCAATTCTCATGCAACTCTTGTTCATGTTTGACCAGGGCATTGGTTTCATTAAAGGATACTTTAAGAGAATTTACGTCAAAGAAACAATTCACAATGGCGACAAATGCATAATGATTTAAAGTAAAAGCTTGTATATCGTACTCACTATCGAGTTTAATTCATTAAAATGAAGTTTGGACTTGTGGGAGGATTAAATATACTTATGCAGAACACCATTTAGCCTTTTTATTTCATCATATTTAACTGTACCTTACATTCTTTGATCAGTCATTATTCATATGTGACGTAAATTCCGGACATTTACACATCAATAAAACTGAAATAACTCAGAGACAAAGTGAACAAACGAAAATCTTCAAAATAAGTCATTATATTATTTCAAAGGTTCTTAAGAATGGGATGATAAAAATAATTGAGGTCAGGTGCACTTTAAATCATCCACTCACAGCTACATGTTTTTCTTTGAATTCTGGCTTTACCCGACTCAGAACGCGTCATTTGGATGCGCAATCGAATTTCGTGATTCGTGTATTAGATGTGCACTATGTTGGAATGGAATGGAAAGGAATGGTAAAATGTTGAAACGGAACCCTTATTTAGGGTTGCACTTTTAAAAAGAGATAAGAAAGCTTGATCTATTTCACCCGCTTAAAATGATACAGAAACACTTTCTGAATGACGTCTGGTATATTTAAATTGTGCTAATGGGATATTAGTAACTTTTTAAGTTGACCTTAGTATTAAACAGCTATTAACAAAATTTACACTAAAATACAATGAATGTTTGATTTAGAAATTTATGGAACAGAAATGTTCTCTTCAATTGAATGCATAGTTTCATATTGATATTGCATTATCTTTCATTTGAATCATCATGACCCAACATATCCTAAATAAATGATATAACATATTAACAACATGGAAACGATCCATCGATTTATATTCATACACTACACCAGTTTAGTTCTTGAACTCGGCCATCGTGAGTCCTTACAAAAGGTCACTTCAGAGGCCATACAGGATTGTTCAGAAATGCAATTACCCAACCCTTTATACCCCAGAAAATGGCTTACCCAACCCATTTCTCTTCGGTACCAACCCTGGGTATAGGCCCCTCTCCCCGGCGTCCCTGTCGAGCTCAGTGATGTTCATGTGTACTGAAGGAAGGGACACCATAAGATACTTCAGAATCTAAAAGGTGTTATCAGACGTATTTAAAGAGAAAAAAATGCAGAATACAACGCTGTGAAGACGATTCATGCAACGAAAACTTCCAGTTTTCTCTCTTGTAGTTATTGCTAATTAGACAATGAAAAAAAATCAGGTTAAGGTAATTCCGCAGTAATTGTTCCCGAAATGAGAATGTGCTGAAACTTCCTAGGCATGGAGTTTATGATATACTTAAAGTAAAATCACACAAAAAAGTCGGGGTCACCGAACTCGTTAAGAAGATATGACAATCACAATATACCACCTTTACCCCAATATGGCGCCATCTTGACGCTCATTACGAGTAACAGCAAAATCACAACAGCCCGATATTTATCGACGTTTTTAGCGCGGATTTTGCTTTAGTAAACCTATCTTGTAATTATTTTTGAAAAAATATTGTGTTTTGAGCAAAATGAAACTACTAACGTGTACAATTCTGATCCACAAATGTCTTTTGCACATTTCTTTACATATCTTTCTTTGAGAACATGCATTGATAAAACATTTTTTTCAAGATCCAGAAATAATTTTTCTTTTAATTTCGGATATGAAATGTAAAATGCAATAAAGAAATAAATTATCAGTTAAAAAACGGGGGTCACCGATCTTTTTAGGGAATTGTGGCATCAAAACGTGAAATACAAGTAAATATACTACAGACACAGGGAACCCGGAACCCTAGCTACACTTTTGTATACCGTTTCTTAAAACATTGATTTTAACGTAATTCTTTGCACAAATGTAACCAAAGATGTTTGAAGTAACATAAAATTGTCATAAAATGATATTTTTTTAAACGGTACGTATAATGGATGAAATTATAAGTTATAAGATGTGCGCAGTAAAAGTGCGCATTGCAAAACTGCGGAATTACCTTAAGTTTTCGTATAGCTATACGGCAAAAACAACTCAAAAGTGGGGTCAACCAACTTAATAGACAAATTGCAGAAAGCAACAAATGTGGATACTAAGGGGCCGATTACATGGGGAATTTTCAACCCCGGGGTTGAACTCAGCCCTGTTAACCGGGTTGAAATTTCTTGCGATTACATGGACGATTTCATCCCCGGGGTTGAAACGCTATACTATACGTTCTCGGCATCGATTCCCGGAAGTAAAAAAAGCCTTCATTTTGTTTTCTTGTAATAAGGCGTAAAAAAAATACCTGTGGTTCCAGTTTCATATCGTGAAAAAATTAGGGTCGGTAGGTCGGAAATCATTTTTTTTTTTTAATATTTTTTTCATGGTTGCTGGGCGATTTGCAGTAGAGTCCCGACATCAATATTAACTAGAGATGCGTATTTCCTATCGACAAATTTAGGCAATTTTGCTCAATAATTAGTGTGACAACAGACGCCATTTTGGCATGCTGTATGAGCAGCCCGCAACCACCTGGAGAAAATAGGGTCGCACAGTCAATCGCGTTGAAAAAATAATAGGGTCGGCAGAAAATAAATAGGGTCGGTCGGGAACCGGAACCACAGGTATTTTTTTTACGCCTAAATAGTCACTACCACGCATGCTCGAATAACTCATGATAATTTCAGCCCTGGGTTGAAACGATTACATGACAAAATTTTCAACCCAGGGCTGAGTTCAACCCCGGGGTTGAAATTTCAACCCTGCTCATGTAATCGCGCGTTTGATTTTGATAGAGTTTTGTATTACATTTCAACCCGGTAAACAGGGCTGAGTTCAACCCCGGGGTTAAAAATTCTCCATGTAATCGGCCCCTTAACGGCGAAACCAACGTGCAAAGAGATTTGTACTTGAGTGTATTTGAGTAATTCTATTTATTTATTTATACAAATTAAAATAATTTACTTTCACTTGAGACAGATATCTAAACTCAACTTGAATTAACAAAGCGAGAGATGTTTATTTCGATCAGTCCTAAACTACAGTGTGTATAGGTAATATTTGAGGTGTATTTACCGTGAGTGAATTGAGTTCTTTTGAAAACGTCCCAAGCGTTTTGGTTAGTTCATCATCGCCCTGAAATAAAGTGTGATTTTAACAGCAGTTTAGAAAATTGGAAAAAACGTGTAAACTAATGAGCCTGCCAGACTTGAACCTTCACACAAATTGAATAAGATGAAAAGTAATTTGAGGGCTCATTCAAAAAACGTTAGTTGGCAAATTATTTGTTTTGCTAGAGACTAAGCGGTGCTCTAACCAACTGAGCTACATGCAGAGTCCACTTGTCCAGCTCTAAGTTGGTTAGAGCGCTGCTGTTACCCCTAGGCTAACTTTGTTGCCCCTGGACAACAATTCTCAAGCTCAATTCTCATGCTCATTGCATCCAGTTAAATTAAACTGTCAAGCATTGTGATTGGTTGAAAGCACTCGCAGCCCGCTTGCGAGTTCACTCTTGCGATGAATGGAAAAGAGGCTTAAGTTTTATGGAATCTCGCCTTTGCGGGTGGAATGCCTGCATGCAGGCTTTACTTTGATGGTTTCACTGACCTGCTGCTCGTCTCCTCGCGTCTTTTGATTCGTCACAACACTTTGTTGAACACCCTCCGTTTTTCTTAATCTAGGTGAAAATATTTTCTGCAAGGGGACTGGGATTTCTGTGTCCATTGGACAAACATATTCCTCGCATTCAGCGTCAGATTTTGTTCGTTTTCGCATGCCACCAATCGACAGTCTTCTTGTCTGAAAGGGAAATATCTTACTCATAATGACGTTGAAATTCTAGGTTGAAATCCACTTGCATGATAAAAAAGTGAACCTACATAATTATACTGTGAAGAATCCAAGTGAAAAGTATAGTAGGAAATAGAAAGAGCTTTCAAATGACGTCCTATATACGTGTCATTGGGCGCTTACTATTTAACAAGAAATTTGTTTAATTAAAAGCATGGTCCTTGGTTTCCCTCAACGAATGCACAACAAATCTCCGGGCACACACTCCTTTTGCTGAAACGTAATTAACTATTAAGCACTTTTATCTTAGGAAAATTTATTTCATAAAGTTTGTACAAGAACCTATAACGGGAATAATATATTGTATAACGCAGGCTGAAATTAGCACAAATTGCACGTCCAGTAAAAGCAATATAACACTATTAAAAGCACTCCCAACATTTTACAGAACATAATGAAATCTTATGCTAGAAAGATCGCGATCACGCTCACCGTTCAACGTTATACCTTACCTTTATATGACGTTTTTAAAAGCGATATCGATGCCACGGCATCGTTACGTCCAAACCTGCATATTTACTTTCTTTACAAGTTAGCCTAAACTAATTTGCATGCAGTTAGCAGTTAGCGCATTGCCAGCGAGGCAAGTGAACGGAGGCGAGGGAAATGTTTTGAGAAATTAGCCTTCAGAAGGTCAATTTTGGCAATAGAAAATATCACTTAGGCCTTAGGTTTTTGTAGAAAAGAAACCTGTTAACTAGGATCCGAGAGAAAATAGCACAAATCTGACTAAAGGTTTGACTAAAACAAGTAGAATATGCCAGTACTTTTGCAGTTAGCTAAAGTCACTGCAGGTAACCCGATTACCACGGATTCCAACATCTGACACCCATGTTACGTCTAGCAGAACTTCTACGTATGTTTATATTCAACTGCATCTACATAAATACGCATGTAGCAAATATGATATATAGTTAACATGTCATCCACGTACCTTGTGTTTCTCTCCAGGTAATATTGGAGTCTGACCATTGGCTACGGCTGTTTCTTTCACTTTCATACAAGCAGGACCAATCAATGATTCAAAATGTGTTGCCAGATGACGTCGAAGAAGTTTCTTGCCAGACGGGATAGAAAGGATTGTTGCCATAGTTTCTGCTGTGAACCTCGGCTCTAATATCTATTTATAAAAATAATAGTGCCAATGAAACTAAAATGAACTAGAGGGCACTCATAGACTGCAGATACCTCCTTTAGAAAATCAAGTTATGTAACATGCCTTTTTTGCATAAATTACACAATGGGCTAATTAT